CCTGGTGCGTGAATCCCAGTTCTTCAACTCTGGATGCGGTCGGTTTCAATGAATCTGTTTCTGAGTCAGTCGAAACAATTGAACCAGGGAACGATGGGAGTTTGGAGCCGTGGAGGGAGTGTCCGGTGCGTGTGTTGGCTGTCGCCCTCCCTTCAGTGCTCTTGATCAGTTGTCCGAAGGCGTTTCAAGACGCGTAGTCAAATTCCGAGCTTCCAAAAAGTTCAAGCGCAAGCACGCGAGGCGCGGCCCTTTCTTGACGATGTGCGGCAGTATCTGTTTGGGGCGGGAATCCTCGCTGGAGAATATCGTGCGCCCTCTTCTGCCAGTATCACTCCTCTTCCATCCTATCTGACAGCAAATCAGGTCAGCGTAAGACATTCTACTGTGGAGGATATCAGTTTTTTGCACCAGGATAACTCGAAACCCTCCAGATACACGAGTTCATGCAAGATCAGCTGACTTTCAACCAGACGTTCGCCTACCGGCTTCCTCCGACGTACATGGCGCAAGCGCGTGCGCTGGCCGACTGGCACGAGAACGCAGTGTTCTCTGACAACCCGCGCTGACGGCATAGGAAACAGTCAGTCGTGCTATAGGCTCACTGATTCACCTGATTGGGCCATCGGCAGTCGCGGGCCGGACGATGATGCCCACCATTACCGACGCGCTGCAGCGCATGGCCGCAGCGCGCGACCGCTGAAGTTCGTGGCGATCGAGACGACGTACCAGCCCTTGATATCGCTCTTCCACCAGATGGATATGACGCGCGGTGTACCCAGAACTCGCGGCCTTGCGTGCGTGCTCTTCTGGTGTTGCTGCATCCTTGCGGCTGAACAAAAGACAAAACGTCGCAGCCAATTTCGGAGCGAGTCTCGTGATCGAGCTCCGTCGGGTCCGCCGCCTGAGAGCCTCGACTTCGTGCGCTTCAGGTGGCGGAATGGCACGGAGGACGAGGACGGGTGGAGGACGCTGCGTGCGTTTGGGCATAAGCGGGATGTCCCGTGTATGAGTTCATCTACCGGGCGTCGGTACGTCCGTGCCGTTTCCTACTTTCTCTCTCCTTTCTGGAGTTATCTATCACATGCGGTCTAGATCCCAGCCATAAGCAATCACAAGCGATGGGCTCGCGCGTGCGGTGTTCGAGCCAACGCACGTAGTTCGGACCTCCAAGGCGAACTCGGCACGGCGGTCCAGGGGGTTTTCTGGCTCGACCTGCTCGGCGGTGTTCTGGCGCTCTTCTTCTCCTACTGGGGTGCGGTCTCGTGTTTGCACGGAAGCGCTGCTCTGAGGTAAGCCAAGCGCTTTTCGTGGCAGGGAGAGAGGGATGTGGCGCTGATGTTTGTCGCGGGAACGTTGTAGAGAATGTGAGTTGTTGCGCCAAGTGGGGCGCTGGACTTCAAGTAGCCGAGGACGTGGAAAGTTCGCTGCTGTTGGATTATGCGGCTAGAGTATCTGTTGGGGTTGTATAAGGATCTGTCATGTACGTCTGGGAATGAAAGTGCTGCGTCACAATGTAGCCAAGACTTCAGGCACCTATTCATCGGCATTCTTACCCACCTGGATCCCTTACGAGAAGTTCATCCAGACTGAGACTCTCTACGAAGTATAAAACACACACCGAAGACGACACCTCGATTCCAAACCACCCTGAAATAACTCACAATGCAACTCACTCGCACCTTCTTCGCCCTCGCTCTTGCCCTCACGGTCCAGGTCAGCGCGGCCCCAGCCTCGCTGTATCGGCCAACGTCACTAGAGGCGGCTGTGAGCCACTTTTCCACTCCACTTTCCTCTCTGCTCACATGCTGACCTTGCGCTCCCACAGGGTGCGGCTTCCGCCCCGAATGCAACTGCACTCCAGACGCCGCGACCGGCTGCGAGCTCCTGTTCGACGAGTGCGGGCAGAACTACCACTGGCCCTTTGCGTGCGACACTTGTGACTGCCCCGCGCTTTGTGTCGACTGTGAGTAGTTTCTCAGCGTCGCTTGATCTTTGAGCTGGGCTGATGGGGAGATGTGCGTAGATCTGTGCGCGCAGCCGACTGCGTGAGACTGTCGGCGCGTTGAGAAGCGGGAGTTATGGCGTAGGAAGAGCTCTCGTGTTTTGTGAATATGAATGAGTGAATGAATGATGATAACCAGCGTAAAGACGTGCGGATCTGTGAAGTGGTCGATAGCACGTGATCGCGTTTGCTGCATCAAACAGCGCTTGCTGAGGAGTTGAATTGAGAGAGGGACTTGTTCGGGAGTAGTTAGGTGCTTCTGAAGACTAAAGAGTGGATTTGCGAGCGCTGTCCTACAAGTCCATCCCATTTGATCGCGCGGTCAAACATGGACCAGTTGTAGTGACGGTGCTTAGGACTCGAATGTCTTCATTCGTAGAGCCCAGTCCACATGTACGAAATTGAACAAATGATTACACCGACCGCTCCGGAGTCCGGAGCATTTAAATCAGCCAAGCAATCCGGTGATCCAGTACCGATGGTTGTCGTGGCCAGCGCCAAGTCGCTTCTCGAGTTCATAGCAGAGGCTTTACGATATCGGGAGACGGAGGGGTACTACATCGTGTGCCGAATGACATTCTCATACCTAGCAATTCATTGATACTTATCAACCAGAAGCCCAAAGACTGTCTTTCGCTTGGCCTGAACATCTTGGACCAGCGAAGTCAATGGCATCCACCGTCCTTCCATGCCAGGCACGTGTGTAGTGCTGTATTCAAGCGCAGGATGGCTGAATTTCACCGTCGGGGATCAGTCATGAACCGCTTCAGGGCTAGACGTAGATTCTGGATCAATAAAAGCCGGGCTCGGGCTAATCAGTGTGTCAACTTCTCACCAATGCAACTCACCTCTGCACTTCTCTCCCTCGCCGTCCTTCTCACGAGCACCGCGCAGGCGGCTCCCTCTGTGGGAGTCACATCCAGCCTCACCAAGCGCTGTGAGTCGTCTCCGCTCCAGATCCTATGCCGGTTGAATCCTCACATGCTGCGTGCTTCGAGGGTGCGGCTTCGACGCGACGTGCGGGTGCACGCCGGATCCTGCGGCCGGATGCGAGCTGACGTTCGACAAGTGTGGTCACAGTGGTACTGGCCGTCGCACTGCAAGGGGTGCCAGGCAGATTGCCCGGACCATTGCGTCTTGTGTAAGCCGCCGCTACTTGATCATTGTTCGATCCCCTGATGAGTTTGTGTATCGTGATTGCCAGTCTTTCACTGCATCGACCCATCCCCTCCGAAGTGATTCGGGATTATTATGAAAATTTCTCAGGGAAGCTACCGAGAAGCAGGATAAACAGAGCGTTTCTGTATTCACAAATATGAGCCTCGTCAAACGTAATGCCTTTAACCGATGATATATTCTTACTATCTATGCATCGAAATCTCAGAGTCTACTCACTCGATATCAAGTCCTCAGAATTCTACGAATGTCACGGAGCTCTAGAGCAGGCGATGCCTTTTCTTGGCGGACTGCCGACGCACCCGTGTCGTCCTTTCAACTTGAGCACACTACCGAGACATAGGCCAAGCCAATAATGTTCAATTGAAAGCGTTGATTTCTATCCCTTGAACCGGAGTAGGATGCAGTTGAATTCAGTAAGCGAGGGTGACTCGGAGGAGTGGACCAGGCACACATAAATGAATCTCATGCGCAAGTAACGTAAGAGGTGTCGGTGGCTTGGTATCGGAGCGCAAACGGGGATAAGTCTCCACCCCAGGCTTCAACAAGGAATCCGCAAATCCCATAAAAGCCGGGGGCTAGTGTAAGTGTCCCAGGTCTCCAGCCTAATCAGCGCACTGTTCACTGACACCGCAACCCACACAAGATGCAATTCACAGCCACCCTCGTCAGCCTCGCTGTCGCGTTCGCGAGCATGAGCGCCGTTACCGCGGCTCCCGCTGTGGAATCGAGCCTCACCAAACGCTGTGGGTCTCCAAGCCCGGAATCTCTCGCTGCCAACTCACTATTTGCTTGTCAGGGTGCGGTTTCGAGGCGCAGTGCGGCTGCACGCCGGACGCCGCGACGGGCTGCCAGCTGACGTTCGACAAGTGCGGCCAGCAGTGGTACTGGCCGCCGCAGTGCCAGGGGTGTGGCACGTGCCCCGAGCTGTGTGTCGATTGTGAGTCTTCGCGCTTTTTGCGCTTCTGATCATTTTTGTGGTGGGTGGTTGACCAGGGATGACAGTTTTCCAATGCATCGACCCGTCCAAGAAGAGCGCGCAGTGATTCGGAATAACGGTTATGGATTGTACTTTGAGACAAATGAATTGATGACGGAGATGTGTGCCCTCATGCTCCTAAGTTACTGAGCAGCGCGGATCAGCTCTGCGGTCTCACAAGGGTCGGAACCGGTGTCCGTGATCTCACATCAGAGCACGGGTCATCCCGGAACGGTTGGCGTCTGGCCCGAAGATCCAGCTTTGCATGAATGCGGCAGCTGTTTTCTTCGCTGGCCAGCAAGCGCTTGTCCCCGATGTGCCACGGAATCATGAATTGAGACTCGAGGATGAAAGCACTTTACAGCGTCTGCGAAAGCTTAATCGTTAAAATAGCTGACAGGCTGACAGTAGCAGCTTTTATGGAACCGATGTCATCCCCGTGACTGACTATGACACGGGTCGTCACACTGGATGGCCGACCCTCTTTGCACCTGTCGAAGTCGCTAGTCCGCCTCGAATACAGTCTCCCCCGCATTTGCGGGTTGGAAATATTATGTAGACGGCCGGCTTTTCTGGAAGGCAGGGCCAGCTTCCGCGAGTCACGTTCCAGCCAAAGAGCACCAACGAACGCACCCAGATCACATCAAGATGGCAGGCATCGCTGATTTTGCGACCATGCGTTTCGTCGGTGCCTGACTTGACCGAACTCTTTCCCTCCTTCTCCTGCTGCTGCTGCTGCTGCTGCTGCTGCTGCTGCGCCCTCCCTCTCCTCCCTGACTCTGTCCGTGGATGTAGATGAGCACGAATGCGAGTGGAGCTGACGTGCACGACCAATTGTATGTTCACTTCCGAGGCATTGTTGCGCGCTCATACATGGCGTGTAGTGTAACCAGCGCATTCGACATCCTCTCGTTCAGTGCGTCTTCGATCTCATCTCTCCCTCCCTTCCCCCGCGAATCCTGTATGCTGACTTCGCGCAGCCCTGATCGTGTACGACTACTTGCTCACGCTTGACTGGGAGGTCGCGCGGTACTGGGGCACGCCGTTCTCGTGGCCCACGTTCTTCTACTACCTGAACCGGTACTTGACTCTCCTCGGGAATAGCTCCATCCTGGTCGACTATGTATGGGGTGGGCAGCTGACTCCCGCAAAGATTGCTGTGCGTCCCAGATGATTCGTCTGAGTCCCGAGCTGATTGATCGATGCGACAGGCGTACGTTATGTCGTCGAGACGTAGATGGTTTTCTGATGAGGTGCAGATGCGGGCCGATGGAGGTGTTTCACCAGTATTTCCTCGTGGGGAGCCAGATCATCGTCGGGAGTGCGTGAATCAGTAGGGACGGAGGTGCATACGCGCATGTACTGACACCTATCGCCGCAGTCATGCTCGTGCTGCGCACTTACGCCCTCTACGAACGCTCCATCCGCGCACTCGCAGCCATGCTTATCTTCGCCGCCGCAGTGCTCGCCATCGCCATCGTACGTGTCGCAGTTCCTGGATCAGCGCAAGCACGGATCTCAATTTCTGCTCCTGCATAGTGGGCGACGATAGTGACCGGACACGAACCAGGCAGCACTGCAGCTGTTCTCCGGTGCAACTTCGGCACCCCGCACATCGCGTGCGTGCTGCAGATCCGGGCCCTTGATCTCGCTGATTTCATGCACAGCGGGGTCTACCTGGCCATCGCGTGGTCCTGCGTCACGGCGTTCGACGCGCTGATATTCGGCATGACCGTTGCTCGCGTGCTCACGCGCCCTGTGCACAGCCGTAGGCCAGGCGCAGATCTGTTCTCGGTCATGTTGAGAGACGGGGCGGTTTACTTCGCGTGCGTACTCGTTCTGCTCGAAGGCCGGCATGCGGGGCTGATTACGTTTCGTGTAGATTTATGACGCTTATGAATGTTGCCAATGTCCTCGTCCTGATCGTGCGTCTCCTCATTCGCGTCGCGCCCTTATTTCGACTCAACTTCTGCCCAGCTCGGGAGCGATTTCGGCCGCGAGACAGTAACGACGTTGACCAATGCGTGCGTGCGCCATCTCTCCCCCGTGATTGTGGTAAAGCTCAATCTCGCCTGTGCACAGATTTTCATCCCTCGCGATCACGCGGTTGATGCTCTCCCTGCGTGACCCAGCCCGGGAACATATGTCCGGCGCCTCAGTTCGTCGCAGGGGGAGACCGGGGAGTCGCTAGAGTCGCCTGCCATGGAGCTTGATTCGCTGGGTGAGTGGTGGTGGACTCTCTGGGTCTTTAGATTCTTGCTCATCGGTTTCAGCGCCCGGGCTTACGGACCAGCTGGCCTGGGAGCGATCAATGACGAGATCCGCCCCGGTGTGATCCAGGATTTCTTGCGGGAATGACTGGTCAAATTGTAACGGACGACGACGAATATAGTTGTCCGCGTCCCCGCATGGGGCTGGAAGACTAGAAAATGCACTTTCGACGAGACGCTGGTCATTTTTCTTCCCCCCAGCACTCAAGAGCACACTGATGGATTGGGAAGGCAGGGTCAAGTATCTCAAGTGCAAGTAATCGATGAGGACGACATGGTCGACAGAGTCGACTGGCACATTTAGTGTATATATCACAAAGAGACAAGATACCACAACAGAATTCTTCCAGAGATGATTTCGTCCGTACCTTGCACAAACGGCAACTCCACAAGATCTGCAGAGCTATAAGAGAGCTCAGCTTCAGACGTGAGCGAACCAGGACCAGTGCACTCACGAATAGATCGTCGGGCAACACGAAGTGGCACTCCTCGCACCGTGCCCGCCCATTGCGTTGCGCCAGTAATGGTCTTTCACACAATCATGATCATTCCCAAGCCGCTGCCACGCGCCTCGACGACGCGCAGTTATCCCCAGTGGTGATCAGGTGCATTTCCTCCCAGTGCGGGCACGCGCAGGTCTTCCATCGCGTGGCGCAGACGTAGCAGAACTGCGTCCCGTAGCGGCAGGTCATGTGGAAATAGCCCTGGCGCAGCTCGATGGAACATGTCTGGTGTGCATTTTCCTACCATGCGACCATGCGACGACCCATGGGAGTCAAGGGCAGAATCCAAGTCAAGTCATTGATCCAGAGGTTTCTCGAGGCCGAAAGCTGTCAGTATCCATACGAACTTCATGAGCAAGGGAAAAGGGGTTTCGTTATGTGATGTTCAACAACAGTGGGTCGTCCACGTGACGGTGACGTCCTCACGAGCTCACGTGCTACTGGCTAGTGGTTTCAAGTCACTAGCATTTTACAGAGATTGGGACTGTTCTGCCGGAGACGTTAGAAATGAACTTCCACCCCACAACACATGCGTGCGCGCGCATGCATGCTTGCTACAATCTTGGCTACTTCACGCCTCCACGTTCGAAGGAAGGCCGCGCGGTGCGTGGTGATTCTTCGGCCACACCTGCCGAAGTGACATCTCTGCCCGGACCCTCTGCACCTCCACATGCCAGCGCACTATTAATATCCAGCGTTGTTCTGTATATAAACATGGGTGTTGCGGGCTGGGGAGGTATCGAGCACTGCGTTTGCGTAGCTTGCAAGCTTCAGTAGAATGGCGCTCCTCGCTTTAATCGTCGCAGCGCTAGGCGGTGTACACGCGGTGTCGGCCGGACTCATTCGTCCGCTGTTGATTCCACGGGGACTGGAGCCTTCCATCTCGTCTGGGTGTGGGACTCGCGGTGCGCTGTCGTGCAGCTCTTCGGCCAAGGGTCCTGTTGCTACGAGGCTCCCGGTGTGCGTTTGCGTTGGAAATCTCAACCACTTCAGCTGGCTACGGAATGATTCCAGGGATGATTCTTCAGACGCAGGTGCGGCGGCCCTTGCCTTATTCGGCTGGTTTTGAGTATCGCGCTGTTGTAGTTCTGGGATACTAACCCGCCGACGGGTCCGACTGACAGCTGGACCATCCACGGTGAGCTAGTCCTCCTGAAACCCGATGCGGGTTGACTCCACCCCGCTCATCACAAATCCACAGGACTCTGGCCGGACCACTGCGACGGCTCGTACTCAAGTAACTGCGATTCGTCCCGCGATTACACGAACATCGGCAGCGTGAGCTCAAGTCCCGTCGAGGCCACCCCGACACAGCACGCCTGACATCCATTCTCCAGCTCCTCAGTGCCCAAGGCGGTAGCTCAACACTCAGTTACATGAACAAGGTGTTGCGAATGATTCATCTCTCCGTCCATCTGTATGCATATTGATGCCATGCCTCTTAGTATTGGAAAAACGACCCGAACGACGGCTCCGACTCCGAGCTCTGGGCGCACGAATGGGCCACTCACGGCACATGCTACAGCACGCTCGAGCCGTCGTGTCTCCCGTCGGGCAGCCCGCGCGGCGCCGAGGCCGTCGCGTTCTTCGAGACCACCGTGGGCTTGTTCAAGGTGCGTGCTCGTGCTCCCGTCTTGAATTGGTTGCATCTGTTTATGTGGTGGATGGGTTTTCAGTCTCTGCCGACGTACACGTGGCTCAAAGACGCTGGAATCACCCCCGGAAGTGGGACACACACGCTGGCTAGCCTGAATGCGGCGATCAAAGCTGGAGCCGGGGTGCGTCTCATCTTTCAACGCGGATAATAATGGTTGATCGCGAACCGTGCGGTTCTATCCAGGTCACGCCGGCCTTCGACTGCTCAGGAAGCGACCTCGGCGGTGTTTCGTACTACTACCATCTCCGTGGAAGCATGATCGACGGAGATTTTGAACTCATCGGTGCGTAGTGTGATGACGAGGATCGCCTCTGTCTCGTAATGACGCTGACGACTTATGGCTTTGCAGACTCGCCGGAGAGCTCCAGCTGCCCTAAGAGCGGGATCAGATATCTCAGCAAATGATTTCGTCGAACTGACGGTTGGATCGAGAGATACTTTGATGTGTTCACTTCGAATGAATGAATAAGACGTCAGATTGAAACGACTCCGAGAACAGTCGAAATATTGAACAATACCATCTCCTTTGCTTCTAAGTCCGGAGTAGAACAACTTTAATATTTACTCCAAAGAGATTCATATAGGATGATCTTTCTTCAAATTCTTTTTCTGGAGAATCGACATTGCAAAGAAAACATCATTATATTATTAATTTTCTTTCTGTGATGGAAATCTATCCTAAAAAAGAAAATTTACTTGCAGGACTAGTTGTGAGGGAAAGAGACATCTATTCCTTTCATGGCCATTCACGTCAATGTAAATAATGCAAAATCTACGAAACTTTCTGATGATATCGCGGTCATTACGGTCAATTACCGGGTTTTTTTAGTGGGGGCCGGTGCTCCCCGGCGTCGATAATTTACAAAAAATAGACTCTTTGTACTGAGCACCGACCTCCCGGATCAGGAGTTTTACCTAGCCTTAGGTCAACTGCGAGCGCGAAGGGAAGGTCTCGTGAAGCAGGCATACGGATTAAGTACCTTACACCGATGATCACAAGAACGAGGCTTGTTGACAGATGTTTGTCCAGTTGGAAGTTCTTTCAGAATTTGGAATCATGCATCCAGGAGTGCCGCTCTGTACACACGAAATGTTGATCTCCGTAAACCTCCCCAATTTAGGGATAAGTATCCTAGAGAGTTGAGACACAGCATCTGAGAACCACCGGACACCGTCTGGCCCGTGTAAATGAACCGTCAGATGTCGGAAGGCCAGCTCAATCCGGGGATTGAAGTCGCACGGAAGGTCATTCAGCGTCTTTACGAGCACGGAAATTTGCGGAGGCGAAACGAGCTGGTCGACGGTGCCTACCTCGAGTGCGAGGTGGGACAGATTGTGTGCGTTCTCCTCGCCGAGTGTGCCGATGATCGCACTCAGACACGAAATATGGGCGTTGGCAGTATGCAAGAAAAGGTCATGGAGACACGGTAGTTGTCTGAGACTGAAACCTTCGGCGATTGCGGCTATCGGTCGTTGATGAATGTCAGGTCAGTTGCTGCCTCAATTAGATTACAGAAGTTGAGCAGACCTTCTAGACTGTACGCAGAAGCTGCGAGCCTCGTTATCCCACCCCACGCATGCCGCATTCGGTTCCTCAGTCCCACTCCAAATGCGCCGTGCAGCTCCAAATCACGCACTCCCGAGAAATCCAGCGGGCACAGCGGATGCGCCAGCCACCCATCCCACCGGGAAAGGTTGAGTTTGAGCGAGGTACTTTTCAGAACGCGGATCATCCCAGGGAGCACATCTGTTTCCAGAAGCACATCATCCACGGCGTCATCCAGCTTACGCGCACGCAAGAATTTGAACACACGCGGGCCGTCGAGCACGAGGCGCGCTAAATCGGCCCCTGGGTCGCGCAGGGAAAAGACCGCGTGCAAGTCCTGCACGTCTTCGAATACAGGCTGCAGCAGCTCCAGCGTCCGCAATGTTGGCCGGCCGACGAGCTGAGCGATGGGCGGGAGGATGTGGAGGCGGACGTCCTCGTTTCGGGTGTCGAGGTTGCTGATCGCGAGGTGCTGGAGACACGGCAGTGCTGCAGATAGTCGAGGCAATAGATCGAGCAGAGATCGGGTTATCGTGAGCGTCAAAAACCGGATGTAGCGTCCAAGCCACGGGCTGTCGTCGAGTACGGCGAGCAGTCGCGAACACGCAGCCTGGGAGCGGATTGCGGTGTTCGTGCATTTTTGACAGGCAGGGGGAAGCTGGATATGATGGAAGAGCCAACGCTGGCTGGATCCAGCGAAAGCGAACGAGACGAGCGAGCAGGCGCGCACATCGGAAGTCGATGTGGCGCAGTCAGGCGAAGCGAGGAAAGCGACGATGTGGTCCGTTACCTCGACGCAGCTGAGGGCTCTGGAAGACATGCGAGAATTGGAGTCTTGAGCGTCTTTCGCCCGCCTCCCGTTGAAGTCCGGTCACAGTGGATGGTACTTGATAGTGTACGTCATGAGCCTATCCATCCCAGTCCGGGGGCCGGATGGTGTAGCCGGCTCTCACGTATCCTACCTGAATCGAGAACCCGGACCCCGCTCGAAGCTCTTAGGGTTCCTTGCCGTAAGATTTATGCTCTGTCAGAGAAATGGGAAGAATAGGTGGCGTGACAATGTCACAAATTCATCGTTCGGACTTTTTGTGATCATAAAATGCAATGCTTCCGGGGCCTGTTCTTCCCATACTACCTCTAAATCTGATTTGAGTCTTATCTCTCTTTGTTTCACGTCTGAGGAGGTGGACAAAACGATCTTTGCATCGATGATCATACCATATTCATGTTATTGAACCTCGCTTGGGCCATCAGAAATAGGCTTTACAGTGAACGGATTTCACAGAAGATCCATTGCGGTAAATTAGCTCACACTCTCCGGTCAGGTCAGCTGTGCTGCCAGCTCATTTTGTGCAGGGACCTGTGACAGGTCACGACGGCTAGACCGTTTGATCTCTTGCTACGCCTCGTCACTTAGCCGTGATCTGTGACCGACGGAGTGGTTGGATACACCGGCAATCCGTCACCCCTTGCCGAGATGGACATTCGCTTTACTTCACTGAGCGACACGTCCCGATCGCACAGAGCTCAGAGTTCAGGTGAGGGCTGTTTCCATACTTCGATCGCTTGTGGGTACAATTTCTCAATGGTATGGTACGATTGTTGCATTACGCCGCAGCGCCCACACATTTAATAGCTTTCAAAAGAATCAGTGTCGATCGGACAAGAGATCACGCGGAAAGTAGGGTCACTCACGGGTGAGGCAGAGCGGAAGGCAGGGGGCACATGTCGTGCACTCCTCGGGCCAGAACCAGTGCTGGGAGCATTCATCGAATTTGGCAACACAGCCGGCCTTCTTGTTAGTCTTGCACGGGCAGCTGTGGTCGAATCCACACCCTAGTTCAGTTTTAGCACAGCAGAATGGACATCGTGGTCGTTCGAATTAGAGAAGGGGCTACGCAACGCTTGGTGAGGCTGGAGGACACCTCCGCAGGGGCAGGTGCAGCTTGGACCGCACTGAGTGCGACGGCAGCGAAGACGAGAAGCGCGCGGGTGAGCTGCATGAGTGAAAGAAGTACAGGGACGACTGGTGTCTTGAAGCACCTCTTGGGGCTCTTTTATAGCTGGCTAGCCCAAAATTGAGGTGCCACAGCCCGTTGACTTCGCACCTTTTACATCATGCCGACTGGTGCTCTATTGAGTGGCCCGAGACAGCCGAGTGCATTGAGACGGCTATGTCACGGGTAGATGTGTGCTTAGACATGTTGTTGACATACTCGTCAAAAATTGTTCTTTAGAGCTTTTGGGAATGTTCTGCTCGTCACAGGCAAGCGGTTAAGTAGCAGCAGCCTTTGTTTATTGACTGCGCAGTCATTCGATTTTTAAGCGCGGTCTGAGTCGTTTTCAGCATTAGGAACTTGAATCGAGGGTCTCACTGCGCGGCGATATCATTCCCGAAGATGTGCATCAAGGCCCCGCGTCGGCCAGCGTATTCTCCGGTAGATCAACCCGATCGGGTGTAAATCTGGGCCCTGATCGTTTCAGGTACATGTGATAGAGATCCCTTGGGTCCGTTTGTTCAAGATTCTTGTTCGTGAAATGGAATGTCGGCGAAATCTGTAACGGTTCGGGACAAACTGCCATCCAGGGGACAAACCAGGCCCGACGATGGGAGTGCGTTACTTCCCACTGAATAGGGTAAGCATCTCAATGACGAAAAAACTATTCTCAACTTCGTCCTCACTTTTGGTATACCCGGAGTCCCGGACGGTCTACTAACTTCGGGCCATAATTCACAGCCGTAGAGATAAGATAAGATCCCATCAATCGTCATGCAGGAAGCACGGATCAGCAACCTGTGCGGGCTCCGATCACCGGCTATCTCCCTCCTCTTCCTGTCTACCCTGATGACCCTACAGCCACCGCTGCCGCCAACGTCCCCATCCTCCACCTTTGCCTCGACATCGTCGGTGCCTACAACATCCTCATCGACAGCGACGCAGAGAACACCGCCACCGCTCACCCTGGTGAAACTCAAGGCGCTAAAGAATCGAGCCATAGGGAATGCGCGTGCGAAGGCTGAAATGGGCCGGGACGCAGAGCTCGTTGGGAGGTATGTGCCGTTCCGTGTTTTATCGGTGTTCTCACGTCGATTGTCACTCCGTCCTGTCGTCACACGTTCCTCGTCCTCTTACGCTCCATGCACATGTCACGCACTCAAACGCATCACGCTTTTCGGTCTGAAGCCTCGTTCGCAGCTTGAACCCATATTACACGGGGGAGCAGGTCACGGACGGGGACGAGAGGGAGGTCGCGACGGAGGCGGCACATGTCATAGCGTCCATAGCGTACGGTGCGTGCGTCTCTTCTCGTCATCAGCCGTCCATCCTTCCACGCCGCTTGCTTCTCTGATCCAGTTCCGCTCCTCGTTCACCGGCAGACCCTGACACCCATCTCCGTACAGGCCCGGACAGCGTCTTGGAGACGCTCCTCCGCGCGAATGCACCCCACGCGCTCGTATGCGCGATTGCGTCTGCAGCGGCACCCCCAGCCTCATCATCATCATCTTCTTCTTCGGCAGCCCAGCCAAAAATAAGGTCATTGTCTTCCGACGAACCACGCGCAGCCGCGACCCGTGCACTCCGAACGCTTGCGGTGCGGCTTGCGGACTGTGTCGGCCCCGCGGCGTGGGGTCTACGTGAGGATCCGGATTCCGTGGTTGTTTTGGAGGCAGATGAGACGGATTCTCAGCACGGACAACAGCCAGGCTCCGAAATAGGCTCAGAAGGCGTCCCAGAGGGAGGAACAAGAATACGGGTCCGCGATCTCGCGGGTGTGGCGCTGGACTGGCTGTTCGAGGTGCATATGATACGCTATACTCGCTACAGCAGGATGCTTATCGACATGCGTTGCGTTTGCAGCCCGAATCTCTGGACGTTCTCCTGCCTCTGCTTGCCCCCGCTCAGTCCTCAAAACCGACAGCCACATCCATCGCGCAGATGCTCGGCTTTGCGCTGCGCCGGGCGGAGCACCGGGCCGCCGTCGTCGCATGGGTGCCCAGTGGCGGCAGCAGCGTCACAGCAGCGACGCCGACAACGCCGACAGCAACGCGCAATCGGGGCTGGGAAAAGCCCGCGCCGGACGGGGACGGGGAGGCAGGCGGGTGGATGTGTCGGACGTTGCTCGGCCTCGTGGTGCGGTGCGCGAACACGAATGCGAGGGACCGCAAGCTTGTTGAGGCCGCGCTGTGGGCCTTGGGTGCGGTCGCCAAGGATGAGCCGAGCGTGGCGGGTGCGGTGGGCGAGGGTGTGTACCAAACATTCTTCGCCAGTTCGCAAGACTTGCTGATGATACTGCGAAGCCTCTCTGGCCTGTGTGCTGATGCTTGCGAAAACCGTCGAGGCGGTGGATGTGCAGGTCGCCGCGTGTCTCTGGTGCGTCTGCCATACAGGCATCATCTTCGCTGCTGAGATGGCGTGCAGCGCGACGCACATATTGCGTGCGCTCCCTGGTGCGGCGCCAGACGGGGCGGTTCTTAGTGTGCTGAGCGTCCTCAATCATCTTATCGCGGAGCCGGGCATGGAGACCAGGACGAAAGCGTGCTTTGTATTGTGTGCGGTTTCTGTTCTTCCAGATCAAGTTCCCATTCACTCACGACTACTTTTCTGTCATCTGCAGATCATCTTGTCGCGGACCACCCTGCGCTGGCACTGACAGCCTACGAGCGTGGGTCAGTGGGTCTCCTGGCGGCGGTACTGCGGGATATTGCCGAGCCGGAGGACGGGGATGATGAAGCGGAGAGCGTCTCCGCTCTACGCGAGGTATGGAACAGCCCTCACGATGATACTGAAACTCATGCTTCGCAGGCAGCTCTGACCTGCCTCGCGGCGCTAGCGCTCTTCGAGAACAATATCCGTCTTGCACTCACGTCGTCGTCGCCATCTCTGCTTCCCACGGTACTGGCAGCGCTGACGCACCCGCGCGTTGGGGTGCGGTATGCGGGGTGCCAGTGCGTGCGCGCGCTCAGCCGCGGCCTGGCGGTGCTACGCACGAATATCGTCGACAGTGGGCTTGGTATGGGTGTGTTCGCCGTCCTTATGCGGCAGGAGGATAAGCGCGTCATTGGCGCGGCGCTTGCCGCGGTATGTAACATCGTTAATGGCTTCTCGCCGTTGCGGCCGGTGCGTGCGATCTGTATGCGTCCTTCGGTGTCCTGATTTTCGGAGCAGATCTATCTCGACCAGGGCCTGATGCCGCGCCTTGTGAAACATATTGCTGGTTCAGAGGCGACACTGAGGCTGAGTGCGCTCTGGGCGGTCAAGAATCTGCTCAGCAAGAGCAGCGGCGAGACGAAACGAGATGTCATGGCTCAGCTTGGCTGGCCGCGTCTGGCCTTGTGCGTGTCTTCGATTGGCTTCCCGGCCCCTTTCTGACGTGAGCGTAACTCCGCCAGGCTTCTGGGGGACCCAGACGTAGGCATTCAAGAGCAAGCCTGGCACATCCTGCGCAACCTCGCAGAGAACGAAGCTGGCGTGGAGATGGCCTTCCGCGAACTCGGCCCGGCGCCCATCGTCGCGCACCTTGTGCGGGTGCTCAGCCACTCATCGGCGACGACCACCCCCGTTGCACCTGCCCCAGCGAATCCACCGCCTACCCCGAGTCCCACAACGGCCACACACAACCAAGACAGCCTCCTCCCCGCGACATGCGTCGTCGCGAACATCGCGAACACGGGCACGCCGTACCACGCGCACCTGCTGTCTTCCCCCGCCCTGCTGCGCGCTCTGCGGTCCGTCCTCGCCGACGCGGGCATAGCGGTCCGTCGGCCCGCAGTGCATGCGATCCTGGAGCTCGCGCGGGGCAGTGCGGCGGCGCGCCGGGCGCTGGCGGAGGCGGGCGTGCGGGGCACGTTGGCGGTACTGGTACGGGGCGGGAGCACCGGTGCGGAGGAGCGGGATGTCGTTGAGCAGGCGAAGATGGCGCTGGATTGGCTCGAGCATGGGGAGCTGGATCGTTAGATTCGGCCTTGTACACTGTCTTTGATTGATCATCACCTTATATGTGTGGGAATATCAGCACCGCTTGTGAAGGATACTTTGTGGTCGCATTCAGTGTGCGATGTAGGCACATTGAGAAGGGAGTGACCTGCCTATTAACCGCATTGGTGAAGGTACCGTTAAGTGTGCACTTGACAAACGGGATATCGTGATGCCAATGAGGACAGTTCCCATCTGAATCATATCGACCCTTATCTCCTCACTCTCCATTCGCAGGTTTCGTGATTCAGGAGCTAGTAGAGCACGCCATCCTCCTTTACGTCTGAAACAATGCCACGTTCTTGCGGCTGCTCTCGTGAAAGTGTTTCATACCCCGCGCTAGGCGCCTTCAGTCCTAGGGGCAAGAGAGGATTCCTCGTAGAGGCCCAGTTCCCCAGGGGGGGAATCACTTCTAGTCTCAACACGAATGGTGGATTTTATCTGGCTACTCTGACATCATACATCCTACGTAGACAATGTTCCTTCTCTTCAGCAGCCCTTGCACGACGACTAGCAACGGAACTTTGAGCAGCGGAACGAGATGAAGAAACGGGAAGGCCGTACATAGACTTTGGAATAAGCGTGTACAGCAGCGATGCATTCGGCGTCAAGGATAGGATCTGAGGAGACGCACAGGCGCAAGTTAGTATCCAAGTCAGCCGCGTGCTAGTCGATTCGCGTGATGCGATGACTAGGGACGCACTGCAGAATGCCTGGCTACCCGCCTCGACGCATATGACCGGAGCGAGTGCGGCCTCCACGAGTGTAACGAGGCAGTCTGGGCGGCGGCGTTCAGTACCAGTATGTCTGAAATGAGACTGAGCGGGATTCCTGACCGCAGATTTTGCAGCTGCCGTTGCCAGTCGGAGCGGCGCTCGGCGTGCTCTTCGTCTGGCTCGTCACTGTGTGAGGAGTCGTCGTCGTTAGGGAAGTGCGGGCGACGAGTGTACGGCCCAACAGAGGCTTTCCGGCGTCTGATGCCTGTGAGGAGGTCAAGGTGGCTGATCTGGTCGTTTGAAACCACGAGATCGCACCTCCACGAGTCCGATCGAGGCTACGAGAGACGAAATCAAGAGCGTCGGGATAACATTGTGAATGAGATGCTTCAAGGTCGAGCAACCGAATGTGGGGTTTTATGTGGACTAAGGCACGGAGTAGAAATCCTGGCGTACGTTGAACAGACAAGGATGTGTGCCAACGGTGAGAGCAATCGTGTCAAATCAATCCAGTTCGAGTTCAGCCACCCAGCCTTGGCGAGGCAACCCATGACAAGATGAAACCCTCAAGTAGGTGATAGCTTCGTCCTCTCGCGCCTCATCCTCTAGCCAGGCACAGACAGCTCACAGATGGCAGTCAAAATATGAGAAAGGAATGGTCTTGCGGAAGAATAGACGTAGGACGGGACTTCATCTCTCCTCAGACGAAAAGATGATCAGAGGCCGGAGAGGAAAGGAAATGAGATGATTACTTTGATCCGACATGATCCGTGTCCCGTGATCCCAGACTCGACAGTGAGTACAGATTTCGCGGGGGCTCAATGGGAACGTGATGAGTTTGTTTTCACGACTGAACTCCTTCACACTTCGATGACAAAAATCAAAATACTATTACGTCCAGTGAAAAATCCTTTCTCTCGGGTGTCGATTTTTTCGGACACGGTCGAACTTTTGAACAATAGAAAATGGCCTTTCTCTCTCTATCAGATTTCACCTCCAGCGAGATGCTCTCGAAGAGAACACCGTCGCAGATCTAGTTGATCTCATCCTGCGCCTTTACCTAGTGAGCACTATGCAGTTTCAAGGACCTTCACGTGCCGCTCGGACGGCCCGCTGTCTCCGGAGGCCTGATCCAATCACTATCACGATCGGAGTTTGCGACTTTTCCCCGCAACTTCGATTTCCCCACCTCCACAACGTGCGACCTGCCACTATGGCACCGTCCTTGATACGTGCGTGCCGCATCCAGCTCCGCTCGGGTTTTCGGTCCGCTGCCGTGCGCCCTCCGCCGGCGTACGGATGGGCTGGGAGAGCACGTTTAACCTCCACCTCCACGTCGAGCGCAAGCCGGGGAAGCGGCGTCCCACTCGCACTCGGCCTCGTGCTCAGCGCCGCAGCAACGGGCTTCGTCATCGGCTCGCTCTTCTCCTCGTCTCCCTCCTCCTCCCCGCGCTCGCCCAGCGGCCCGGCGCACTTCGCCTCTGCGCACCACACGAAACCGGTGTACGGCACGCCCGCGGACTTCCGCGCGGCGATCGACGAGCTGCTGCACGTGTTTCCGAGCGACGAGCGGAGTGTGGTGTCGCTCGACGAGGACGATCTGGCCATCCACGGGATGTCGACGAACACGTACCACACGGGTGAGTGAGCTGCCGCGCACAACGGGGTACATCATGTAACGTGTCTCCGCCCAGGCTTCTCCCCGAGTGTCGTGGTGTACCCCGAGTCCACGGAGGACGTGGTTGAGATTGTGAAGGTCGCGAATATGTACCGGATGCCGCTTATTGTGTGTGCCGGCTTGTCCTCCTCGCGGCGTGCACAACTCTAGCTCATGCGTGAGACAGCCTTACTCGGGGGCGACGGCGCTAGAGGGCCATTTCATCGGGGTGCGTGGTTTCATTTCGGTGCTCTCGCCAGCGACCGTAGCCATGCGGCACTGCTGATATCCGCACGCTGAAGCTCGCGGGCGGGTGCATCACGGTCGACATGTCGCAGATGAACAAGATTATTGAGATTCACGGTGCGTGGGACGGCCCTAACAGATTCTCGTTGGCCTCGCTTGACGTGTCGTGATACCAGAGGCTGATGCGGATGTCGTGTGCCAGCCCGGCGTGGGGTGGATGGAGTTGAATGAGACACTCAAAAGCGAGGGTGCGGGTCATCATCCGGTTCAGTACGAGTATCACGCTGACATCTCTGCCACAGGCATACCACTTTTCTTTCCCGTACGTTTTCCTTGATTGGGGATTCCAGCGTTGATGTGCACTAGATCGACCCGGCGCCGGCCGCTACGATTGGTGGAATGGCCAGTACTGGATGCTCAGGCAGTGCGTGTGACTCTTCCATCCGTGTTTGGCAGATGGGAATGATTGGATTGACAGCAAACGCTGTGCGATACGGTACGGCAAAAGCGGAATGGTTTTTGAACCTGACAGTCGTCTTGCCCAACGGCGAGGTGATCAAGACGCGGCAGCGGTCGAGGAAGAGCTCGGCGGGCTGGGATACAACCAAGTTGTTCATTGGCGCAGTACGCGCCGTTTCCGGTTGGTTCCGTCAATCCGCTGATCGTCAGTCCCGTTTAGGAAGGTACATTGGGCATAATCACAGAAGGCAAGGCGAGGAAATTGTGAGATGACGTGTTCGCTCAACTTTCACAGTGACTCTGAGACTCGCTCCGGTCGTTCCAACCTCGGTTGCGAGTGTGCAGTTCCCGGACGTCAAAGCAGCTGTCGACGCGTCGATTGAGATCATGCGGTCGAGTGTTTCATCCAACATCCGTGAGGCATTGTGTTTTCACTTTTTGTCCACAGCTGACCAATCTCAGAGTGCGTCGAGCTGGTGGACGACACATTCCTGGCCGCCACCAACAAATATGGTGAGTCACTTCCGTCGTCTTCCTCCTTGCACTCACCGCCTGGCCAGGCTCCTCCCGGTTCCAATACGCCGTCTCCGACGGCCTGTTCCTCAAGTTCCAGGCCTCCTCCAAGTCTGCGATTCCGGACACGATCCGCGTCGTGCGCCAGATCTGCGACAAGCACGGCGGCACGGGCTTCCGCGCGGCCCGCAGCGACGCCGAGGCGGCGGATATCTGGCAGGACCGCAAGAACGCGCACCACATCGGCATGGCGCTCGTCCCCGGCGCCCGTGGATGGGCCACGGATGTCTGGTGCGTACGGTGCTTGTTCGTGCCTGTAAGTGTGTCGACGGTTGAGTCCGTGCATTAGTGTGCCAGTGTCGAACCTGCCCGCGCTCGTGCTCGACACGAAACGCGATCTGGAGGCGCGCGGGCTGCCGTATACGATCGTAGGGCATGTCGGCGACGGGAACTTCCACGCGCAGATCCTGTTCCGGGATGATGCCGAGCGGCGGCAAGTCGAGGAGGCTGTGCATCAAATGGTGGATAGAGCGATTGAGCTGGAGGGCACTTGTGCGTTCTTCAGTCATCGACACCGAGTGTGTTGCTAATGCTAACTTTTCGGACTCAGGTACCGGTGAGCACGGCGTTGGCGTTGGTAAACGCGAGTATCTGGTCAAGGAGCTCGGGGCTGGGACGGTGGGTCTCATGAAAGCGGTTAAACGCACTGTCGATCCGCTCGGCATCATGAACCCTGGCAAGGTGCGTGTATATAGATTTTCGAGTCGAAGATGCTTCATTGCATTTCAGCTTTATCCGGATGATGAAGACGAGAAGTAATTCCAGACAATACATCGGTCACGTGATATTTAGTTGAACTTTGAAGTTCACTCGCTCAGAGACCATTCATCGAGAAAAATGTTTTCGATCCTTTCTGGAATTTACCGCACATCTCTTTAACCAATTCCGTATGCTGAGATCGAATGGTCTGGGAAAGGGGAAAGTGAACAATCACGTGCTGGCTGGTGACAAGCTTAAGAAGTTCCCGAGTTCGCCTCGAAAACAAGAAATTACAATCAAGAAGGACATGCCACAGATTGCTAGATCAACGAATAGTTGGGATGGCATGACTTGTCCAGGTCCCCGACTCTGTCGGTGCCTGATATTGCAGAATATTGCGTGTGGGGTTGAACGCCAGGATCGGCCCGATATCGGCCGGAGCGGCCGGCAACCCAGCAGAAGTCCGTGGTGTCATCATGATGTGACTGATCTGGGACAACTCGGTCGAACTCGACCTCTGCGAACTTGGATTCGAAATCCGAGGTTCAGCTTCTCACTCCGAAATAAACATATTTGTAGCAGGTCTATGTCTATTGCATCAATCTTTTGATCTCTCGTACCTCTTACACGAGCTCAGCGCGTCTTGCTGGAGTCGGTCGCACGCCAGCCAGCTCGGCTACGACTTGAAGGGCTAAAAACTAAGGTAACAGTAAGCACTGCAAGGTCAAATCTGAGGCGGCAAACTGACTCGTCCGTAATACCGCATTGTCTGCAATTCTCCGCCATGAATCCACAACTTGTCGTTTCCGGTCGGCCGCCAGACTCCGCGAGCTTCACCTTCAGCCTGCTCTGAGAATCAGTATCTGGTCTATTTTCAAGAGACGTGCATAATACATCCAGACCCCAGACGGGTTCCAGACTGCTGACCAAGTCCTTCTGCACGATATCGGAGATGGCCCCGCGCATATCTTTCTCGAAGCCCGTGCAATAAACAATGACATCCACGTCAAGTTTTGATCCATCTGAGAAGACGAGCCCGGACGATGTGACCTCGGTGATGGTCGTGTCGGACTTGATTTTGATCTGGCGACGGTGACTCAACATCCTCACGAGGGACAGGACGGACACCTACTTCACCGTTGATGATAGCTTCACAGGCTCCAATCTGCAATTCATGAACAATTTTGTATCGCATCCGTGGCTTGCTCACATCTGGGTAATGTCCGCCGCCTTGGACGAAAATTTGCTGTCGGCGATTTCAGCAGGATCTTCCACATTGCGGAAGTATGGAGAACCTGATGGACCGGCCCGTCGAGCTTCATCAAAAACCCCGCCTTGCGAAGGTTGTCGTAG